AAGGCGTTTATACAATTCGCACCAGGTACCACTACTGCTTGGGGTGCAACAGCGATGCACACGAGGCCACGAATTGCACCACGGTGGCCAAGGCAAAATCCCGTTCGGGAAAGTGAGCACCGCCGAGAGTGATACGGCTACACTCCCAATGCCTTCAGACCCAGTTGCTTCACGCGCAACCTCCCTTAGTTCCAAGGCATATGCGAATGTCGTAAATCCTCTTCTCTATTCTTTCGAGGACTATGCTGCCCAGCTCGTTCCATCGCTGAGTTCTCTAGCTCAAGGACAAGGCATGTGCGTGGTTTCGTCTTTGTCCGAAAGCAGCACCAGCTCATAGTAAGTGTTGCTTCACGGGATTCGGCACACGCGTTCAACCTGGAGGTCTTGGACCCGCATGCCTTCTTCTCCCTTCCACAGGCCGCTTACCGGGACCGCAATACGCAGCACTATATGCCCGTTTGCACACGTATTTGCCAACGGATGACGAAGTCGTGATGGAGGACCTCCTTGTGTATATCACCAAAGTGGCCCGCGAGTTTCGCACGCAGCGGTACGACGTCAACAACGCACCGCTCCTTTATGTTCGCATCCAAGTTGGGCAAGCGTCTTGCACCGCTTTGCTGGATAGCTTTGCGACTCGCGATTTCATGAGGCAGTCCTTTATACAAAGGGCAGTCCTTGGCGCACAAGTTCAAAGGAAGCCACATCCTACAACGGTCAAGATGGCGAACGGTTACACAACTTCTTGATTGCTAGATCGAGGTCGTGCCGGTTTATTTTGCACCACGTGCATGCGAACCGGTCACGTTTGACGTCTTGGACACGGGCTTCGACATCATTTTAGGCCTTTGTTTTCTTCGGACCAGCGATCAAACCTTAACCTATGGACTTGTCTTTGGGCCAAGTCTTTTCGGTCCACTTCCGCTTACGAATGTACCAACAAGATAGGCCTTTGTTTTCTTCAGACCGTCGCAGCGACCGAACCTTCACCTATGGACTTGTCTTTGGACCCCCGCGTGGTGTGGTTGCTTGACGAGTTCACCGACGTCTTCGAGTCTCCTGCAGGTGTGGTGTCGGATCAGCCGATCTCCCATGAGATCATTCTTGACGGCAGTGTCGTACTGCCGAAAGGTTGCATCTATAGCATAAGCGAGGAAGAGCTCGTGATTCTCCATGCGCAACTCGATAATTTGTTTGGACAAGGGTTGGATCCGTCCTAGCAGTTAACCATATGGTGCGCCAGTTTTCTTCGTACTGAATAAGAACAAGGATTTTTGCTTGTGCATCGACTATCGCAAATTCAACGCGCAAACCATCAAGAATGTGGGGCTTCTTCCTCGGATTGACGATCTTCTTGAGTGTTTGGGTGGTGCAAGGTATTTTCAAAATTGGACTTGAAGTCTGGCTATCATCAGATTTCGATACGCCCAGAAGATCGCTACAAATCCGCATTCAAGACGCAGTACAAGCATTTCAAGTGGGTTCTCATGCCTTTCAACCTCACCAATGCCCTGGCAACTTTTCAAGCGAAGATGACCATCGAGTTCCATGCAATGCTGGACCCGTTGTGCTGGTCTATTTGCACGACATTCTCGTCTATAGCTGAACCTTGGAAGACCATCTGACGCATGTTCGACATGTGTTGGAAACACTCCGTCTCGCTAAGTACAAAGCCAACCGTGAAAAGTGCAAGTTCGTACATCAAGAGTATTTGGGTCATTTCGTCACGCTGGAGGGCATTAGCCCATTATCGGGCAAGATTCAAGCCATCCAAGAGTGGTCGGAACCGAAGAACGTTATCCGCTCATTTCTTGGCCTTGCCGGCTACTACCACCGCTTGATCAAAGGCTATTTGAAGATCGCGTCTAATTTGACCAAGCTTCAATGTGAGGACTGGCCATTCGACTTTGACTATGATGCACGGGCTTCATTTTGGCCCTCAAAGCCGCCTTACTATCCATGGAGGTCTTACACATCTATGAACGGTTGTTGCCGACTCGCATCACTACCGATGCGTCCAAATATGGCATTGGTGTCATCCTTGAGCAACACGATGGCGTGGATTGGCACCCGGTCGAATACTTTAGCAAGAAGGTGCCCGTCGTGCACTCAATTGACGACGCACAGAAGCAGCAGTTATTGAGGGGTGGAGGCCATCTTGCAGCGGCGCAAAGACCTGGGCGCCATAGCCGAGCTCCGCGCCGGCAACCTGCAACAGACCACGATGGTCGAGACAACAGTCCAGCGGCAGTCATCTCTGCAGGTGAGGATAGTGAAAAGGACGACTTCATCTTCTTCTTCCTTTTCCTCCCTCTTCCTGCCTCCTCTTCCAACCTTCTTATTCTTCTTTCAGAGAGAGAGAGAGAGAGAGAGAGAGAGAGAGAGAGAGAGAGAGAGAGAGTTTACAGGCAAGGGTTACATCCGTCTACGAGGCCCGGGATCTAATTCGGCACTCTTGTTGAAGACATCAACATTCAGACTATTTTTGGACTTCGCTATCTCGATCTTGGTCTTCTCCCTCCTCTCCATCTTCGTCTCCCCTCTCCCCCATCTCCTCATCCTTGGTATCTCCCCATGTGCATCCTCAAAGAGGGACCTTTCCTCTAGATATGTGGTCCCTTGTCTCACTCTCACATGTGTGGTGTATGATGGGGTGTTGCGTCAGTATCTGACAGGTCAGGTCATATCTTTGAGTCTTCCGTTGCGCTATATTGCTCGTTGATGCTTTGCTTACATTGCATTATCCATTCGCGTCCTTTTCATGACTTTGTGGATCCTTGGCTCCATATACATCGCTCAATCGAGCATGTATCACTAGCCCAATAGCAGGAAGTAGTGGTAGGCCTAGCAGAACATGACAAAAAGTTACGATTTTTAGAGGCCGAGTAACCGGTAGGCCTAGGTACGTGGTTACCAGTCCAAGTAGCCTGAGTCTAGAACCTGTGCGGACGTTATCAAACCTGCAACGATGTTCGGAGGGAACCGGTTGCTTGGGTGGCCAAGCGGCCAGGAAGTCTCCACCCAAGAGGCAAGTTGCCTCAAGTATATCTAGAGGCCAAGCTAGAGGTTCAGCCTCATTTGCAATGTGCAGGTATTGGCGTCATGCTGCTTGAGCGAGCGCTAGACCTCAGAGCGCTGCTGGGAGGAGGAAGGAAGAGTAGTGCGCTCAGCTTGGCTATGGCAAGCTGCCCCACCTGAGGAGGAAGAAGGGGACTAGGGGCCGCTGGGAAGAGGAAGGAGGAGCTGTCCACGCCATCTTCATCTCCTTGGTAGGCACAGAATCTGGAAGGCCCCAACTGGGGTAATGCTACATCAAGAAGGCTTCAGGGCAGCGTCAGGCATAGCGGCCTGTAGAAGAGAGGACAGCGCTGCTTCTGCTTTGCCTTTTGAACATCGGGGAAGGGCCCCCAGTAGTCCACCATAGCTAGTACCTGTTGGAGGTGGAGGAAGAGGTCATGGCTACAGTGGACCTCGTATTGTTCTGGCAGTAGGAGAGGGATTCAAACATCGGTTCTGGTTCAGCCATTCATTGTTATTATTATTATTAATTTATTGTTGAATAAGAGGGGGAAACAAGGAGGACGAGATTGGTTGGCGGAGAACGGGGATTTGTCATTCGTCTTTTGTTGGCGTAGATCTTTTTCTTATTTCTTTCTTCTCTTGTTCTTCCTTTGTCTCTCTCTCTTCTCAAGTTCATTCATTTCTTTTTGCAATTGAACAGCATTGTATTGCCTTGTGTATTTGCACTTTGGAATTGGCCAGGATCATAACAACAATGCAGAAAAGACAAAAATCATGGTCATGTATCTTTCCATGTTTTGTGGAAAATTCATTCTCATTTTGCACATTTAGCTGAGTGGTGCAGTGAAGCCCTCAGGCTGTGCGCCAGCGTTGTGCCGTTTCTAAATGCTGTCAGGCGAGGGTGACCACCTTTGCGCACTCCCAAGTGAGAAGGGGGAAGGCGGTGCACTCGGTCACCGGGCCATTTCCAAACTCTGGAAAACATCGGAACCCATACCCAGCACCAAACAAAACCAAAAAAAAGTGGGACTCCCCTGTGGACTTCAGACGTTCGAACCGGGTTCGAAAACGAAATGGGACCGAAGGAAGCAAAAACAAAAAAGCAGCAACAATCATGGAGGACAACAATGAAAAGACAAAATAATGGCGATAGTCCTCTGGCGCACTTCAACGCACAACCCGCCAACCCTTAAGGCAGTACCATTAGACAAATGAAAATCGACGGCTGCAACACATCATTTTTCGAAACTTGCTGTGTTTTCGACACTCCTACGTGTCGTCTAGGTAGGCCGGGAGACATTTTGCAAAAAAAGCACTGTCCCGGGCAAAGTGGGCCACTGATTTCAAGATCCACAGGCCACCACTACAGGAAAACAACAGATATTGACACGCAGTGTTACCCCCCACTGCCCACTTAGCTATTGTATTTTGTTTTTGGTGAAAGACATAGAGGTTACGAGGAGGAAGAGGTGACGAGGAGGCGGCAGCGGCAGCAGTGAGGAGGACGTTGCAAGGAGGACATGACGCAGAGGAGGAGAGACGAAGGAGGTGGTGACGAGGAAGAGGAGACGAGCAGTGAAGAGGTGTGACGAGGAGGTGTCATACTGTCATATTTCGGAAATGATTTAAAAGAGTAAAACGAAGAACGTGACAAGGAGGAGAAGAGATGGAGGATGAGGAAAGCAAGAGATGGAGGAGGAGGTGACGAGGGAAGAGATGGCAGAGGAAACGATGCCGAGGAGGAAGAGAAGGGAGGAGGAGGGGGAGGAGGGCATGAAGAGGAGGGGACTTAGCATTTTAAGTTTTCAACGAGGTTGTGACGAGGAAGAGAGACGGAGATCGAAAAGGAGGAGATATGGAGGAGGACGACATAGCAAGTAGGAGGAGAGGTGCAGGAGGGGGAGGTGGAGGACGTGAAGAGGAGGAGACCATCCGCATCTCATATTTTCATATTAAATAACACCCAAATAGGTGACTAGGTCCTATCCCTAAAAGAAGACACGGGAGGAGCAGGAGGAAGAGGAGGACAATGATGACAATGAGAGATGGAGGTGACAAGGGTAGAGATGGCAGAGGACGTGACGAGGAGGAGCAGAATGGAGGAGGGGGGGGAGAAGACTACCAGGACGAGGTGGATGTGGTGAATGAGGAAAAAGAAGGGGAGCGGAGGAGGAGGAGGAGGGAGGAATATGACAAGGGTAGAGATGCCGGAGGAAGTGACAAGGAGGAGCAGAATGGAGGAGGAGGAGGAAGGGAAGACTACGAGGACGACGTGGATGTGGTGAAGAGGAGCAGGAGGGAGAGGAGGAGGAGGAGGGGGAAGTGGGGGAGGGGGAGGGAAGTGGTGAAGGAGGGGGAGGGGGGAGGGGTGGAGGAGGATTAGGAGGTGGGTTTGAGGGGCGGTAGCATGGCTGGTAGACACCCACCTGGCTTGAAGTGTCGGAGCTGGCAAGCTGCAGAGGTCATCGGCGATGGTGGCGGAAGGAGGAGGTCACTGCTGCTCTGGACGACATTGAAAGCACCGAAGGACAGCCCTGCTTCCTGATTTTGAAGCGCAAAGACGGGCCTGCAGCACACCCCAACAAAATGGCCCCCGAAACCCATTCGTCTTTTTGGCTTTTCTGCTTCCGACTTTAAATGAAATTCAAGTTCGTTCCAGGCCATGCTTGAGTGCAGCCCACCCAAAAAAATTCGTTTGCCCCCCAACTGATTTTCCCTGGGGAGGCCAGGTAAAAGACCTGCAGAACCCCGCCTTTTTTTTCTGGGTGGGCCTGAAACCCCGTGTGGCGCCTTGGTACAGCCGTCACGAATGGCGCACATCGTGCGCTTGCATGTATGTGCCATACATATCCTTTTGCCCAGAGGCACATTATATTTTAACCCAAGAACATGTGTCCAAACCCTCCAAGTCATCATTCAGATGATTAGCAATTCACCATGTAGTAGAATGAAAAGCCCCAGGCTGTAGCATCATTTTTTTTTGCATTCAGGGATATTACCCCTGTTCTATGGTGCATCCACTGTGAACGATAGTTGTTTTGCGCTGTTCATTTTGTTTCTTTTTTTCTCCCTCTTAATGTACATTGCCTTCATCATTCTGGGATGTTTGTGGAGGAAAAGAAGTGAGTGAAGAAAGATATACTGCATTGCCGTATACATGCATTAGAACACAGATTTCAAAGCAAGGATATATACCTGGCAAGAGGAGTATCGGAAGACGAGTGAAAAGAAAGTGCTCAGCTTATGCTTTGCAGCTGTGAAATACCCTGCGGCAGCACTGGCATCAGTTTCCACTGTTACACTGACAACAGACAGATCCTCACTGGCTTCAATTCGCACATTTGCTAATGACAAGTACCGCAGGCTTTTGCATGGTAAAATTTCCGGCAGGAAGTCCAAAGGATTCCCAAACAAGCGCAGCGTTTGAAGCTTCAGCATGGTCCTGGCAGACACAGTTCACCGAATAGTGTAAATCAGCCGTCCAAATCCATCTTCCCGTCCATTCTGGAACATATAATTGCCTTCGCTGACACAACCGACAAGATTTTTTAATTTGATCGCAGCTCATGAAAAGTCCATACAACAGATTTATGTATTGTAAAACAATGTAAATTGTTTTTGCAATCACCGCTCAACTTCGCACAGAAGCACTGTGTCAAAAAATTGCAGGAAGAAAGGATCAGAAAACCTGCCTTCAACAGGGTGTGAAACAGTTTCTTGGTCGTAGGCTTGGTCCAACTCTACACAGGCATACTGAAAAATGCTTCTCAGTCCAACAGGACAGATCTGGTAGGCTATATGGGCGAGCCAGGCCTGGATTTGGGTACCCTGGGCCAGCTGCCAACAAGCAGAGAGAGGGGAATGGTAGGACCCGACAACCGGCCCTGATGAGCATGCGATCTCAAGTTCTTTAGATCACCCAATGATCAGCACGTGATCTTAGAATTCTAAGATTGTGTGCTGATCTGGGATGGTCTCCTTACATAAGAATTTTTTATAGGTGCGGAGAACAGTGGAAGCATGTGCCATTGATTTGATAAACCGAACACAAAGATGACCACAATGATGCTGAGACATTCTAGTTTTGCCAGGACTTCAATTCACCAAAAACAAAGAACAAGAACTACATTGATTATGATCATGATGCTGTTGATCGGAGGCTTTACGACTCAGCAGCAACAGATAGGGGCCGCTTGTGCAAAAGGGACCCAGGCCTGAGTGAACACTGAGCAGGGAACATGTTGCCAGGACTCTGGGGAGACCACAGTGAGGTACTGGGGAGGACAGCCGGACGCAGCCTATCCAACTTAAACCTGGAAGGCCCAGCCTCCCAGTTAGTTGAAGAGGCTGTTGCCCAGGTACCAGTCGGAAAGCTTCACAGCAGATTCCCAGGCTGGTGTGAGCCACTACCAGCCAGGCTGGCGCAGCCTCCAGAAATTGACAAAACGAAGGGAGGCCGCGGCATTCCACACATTTTGGAGGCACTGGCCTGCCAGCACCAGCACTGGATCCAGGCCCCTGAGCTTCGACGAAGGAGAAGGGGAGGAACAGCGACAGACAGATGCTCCTGCTTGGAGGCAGCGAAGGGGTGCTGGTGCTGGGGGGGTGATCAGAGGAGAAGGACAGCAGTGGGAACCAGTGGACTTACCTTGGAGGCAGCCGTAGCTGCGCCACCGGGGAAGAAGGGGTCCTGGTGCTGGGGGGGGTGATCAAAGGACATCGGTGGGAACAGGTGGACTTACCTGGTGCACAATTACGTGGTCACAGAGAGAGAGAGAGAGAGAGAGAGAGAGAGAGAGAGAGAGAGAGAGAGAGAGAGAGAGAGAGAGAGAGAGAGAGAGAGAGAGAGAGANAGAGAGAGAGAGAGAGAGAGAGAGAGAGAGAGAGAGAGAGAGAGAGAGAGAGAAGTAGGCTAAGCTTAGTGAGTGAGTGTGCTGATTTGGTGTGCCCTTCACTTTGTAATTCTACTTTCGATTCACTCAAGTATGCTCTTTGTAATTCGTTTATGTGAAGCTGTCACGAGAGGGAGCACAGATATTCGAATTACGTCCCACTTTTCTGTTTGATCAGAAATGAAAATGGTTAATGTCCACCATTCATTTCGAAACGACAATACTTCCCACTTTTCTGTTTGATCAGAAATGAAAATGGTTAATGTCCACCATTCATTTCGAAACGACAATACTTCCGCTGAAGCTTGCTCATGACTACATTCGCTGAAGCTTGCTTTACCAAGTATGTACAGAGCAGTTTGAACAAACAAACAAAACATAACATTGGTCATGGCAAAACTACATATCAACTCTTCTTCCCACTCCGTTACGTGTGCTTTCTTCTCTGCTTCCTCCCTCCCTCCTCGTTCTCCTCCCCCTTTCCACCTTTGCTTTTGAGTGTTCCCCTTCCATTGTTCATTGTACTTTATCCTCTCCCTCTATTTGCCGCCTCCTCAAGCTTATTCTCTCCCCATGCACCCCTGCTCCTCTCACTCTTCTGCTGATTGTCCTACTCCCTTCCCTGCTGCTGGTATTGCTTCTACACTTCCTCCTCGTAGTCCTTCCCCTTCCCCTGTTTCTTCTCCTCCCAAATTTATGTCCTCCAGACTCCTCCAAACTCATTTCCTCCACGATACCATCCCTGCTCCTCTTCCTCCTGCTGCTGCTGCGGCTCCATCAGTCCTACTGCTGATTTGACTTTCCCCTTCTGCATGCCAACCCCTAAATAGAACTCTAACAACAACATAGTTGAAGCACAATATTGTTCTGAGTCTTCTTCAGTCATCAACATTTTCAGCAACAAAAATCCACGGAACCAGGGTTGCCAGCCCGAATGTTCGGAGGGGGTCGGGAAACCCCCTCGAACGTCAGCGGTTCGGGCCCCATCTGTTCAGCTGTTCAGGGCCTGCCAAACCGTGTCAATCTGCTGAGTCAAAAAAAAAAAAAAACTTCGTAGAATTAGAACCCCCCCCCGATTTCGCCCTTTCGTTTTTGACCTTTTTCATATATGTTTATTGATTCAATGATTCACTAATTGATTGATTGATTGATTGGTTGGGGTGGATCGCCACCCCCCCCCGCCACCCTCCCACCCCCACCAATCAATCAATCAATCAATCAATATCTCAAATTTATTTATTTTTTTGAACTTTTTTATTTAGGGTTGGTTGATTGATTGATTTGTGTGTGTGTGGGTGGGTGGGTGTGTGTGGGGGCGGGGGGGTCACCAACCCCCCCTGCACACATGCGCGAGCATTGTTTTTGTCCGACTTTGCTTGATTGTGCGGGGGTCACCCCCTCCCCACGCACACACACACACATACAAACAAACACGTACACACACACACACACACACACACACACACACACACACACACACACACACACACACACACACACACAAACGTACACAAACACAAACATACACACAAATACACACACACACACACACGTACACATGCCCACCGCGGTTTCTTTCCAACTGTTTTTATTGACTGATTGCAAGCTTTTTGCAGCCGAGGGTCGTCCACCCCCTGCGCACACACACGCGTGCACACACACACACACAACATGGCGGGAGGGGTTTTTGCCATTCGGCAGGCAAGTTCCCTCCGTGCCCAGTTTGTTTTTTTTAATTAAAAATACGTAGTGTGAAGAATCCCCCGCCCCCTCCACAATACATCAAAAAAAAAAAAAAAAAAAAAAACAGAAAAACCTTCAAAAAACTTACATAAAAAAAAAGTTCACGTTCCGGCCGAACTTGTGCTGGGGGGCCCCAAACATTCGGGCGCTTGGTTTCTTGGGCCAAAAGGAACCGAGTCGCTGACACAGAATTCAAAAAAACATTGTGCTTGCACATGGCATGAGGGCAGCACCAGGTGGACTTGAAGGGATGACAAGATAGGCTTCCAGAAGGCGCACCTGAAGTCCAATAATGGCCGCACTAACTTGTTCTGCTCCAGAGACAACTCCACAAGCTTGGAGCATTGGCGCAGTTCAACTGCAACAGAATACCACAAGTAAAACTGTCATCACAATTGCATCTCCCACAAGAGTGAGTGGGAGAAGGAGAAAGAGAGAGGGGGAGAGAGAAAACGAGAAAAGAAACAGAGAAGGGAAAGAAAGAGAGGAAACAGGGGGGAGAGAGAGAGAGAGAGAGAGAGAGAGAGAGAGAGAGAGAGAGAGAGAGAGAGAGAGAGAGAGAGAGAGAGAGAGAGAGAGAGAGAGAGAGAGAGAGAGAGAGAGAGAGAGAGAGAGAGAGAGAGACAGACAGACAGACAGACAGAAAGACGCAGATGAAGAGCAAAGGAAAATCCATGTCTTAGCTTTATAACACTGCTACCAGACCAGAGAATTTTCACAGAACAGAAAATAGATGAACAAACAGATCAAGTGTTCAGCATTATTATTGCGGATTAGTTCAACAGCCAGCATACTTTGGCTTTGTCCAATCCTGTCTATCAGAATGCACACAGATTGACTTCCCAGCTACAGATCATGCACCTGACAGCCAGCACATCCAGTGCATTCTGACGCAGGCATTTGCACAAATAAGCCACCAAGGTACAGAGGCATTCCACCAAAAACCTCCGCAGTTACACATATATAATGTGCCTATCTATTGTCACACAACGATGTAGAAGATAACTGTGAGCATGGCTCTGCCTCTGAGAGAGAGAGAGAGAGCCTGAGAAAGACTAAGGGAGAGAGGTTGAGAGACACCAGGAGGAAGGGGGGAGAGAGAGAACGAGATGGGGAGAAAGAGAGAAAGAGAGGGCAAGAGAAACGGAGGCAGATGAAGGCAGAGAGAGGGGAGTGGGCAGGGACAGAGCAAAATGGAAGAGAGAGCCACAGAGAGAGAGAGAGAGAGAAGCAATGGAAGGGAGAGAGAAAGCGATCAGGAGAGAGAGACAGAGGCAGAGAGCGAGGGGAAGGGGAGAGACAGGTCTCTCTCTCTCTCTCTCTCTCTCTCTCTCCCTCTCTCTCTCTCTCTCTCTCTCTCTCTCTCTCCCCCCCCCCTCCCCTGCACGCTGGCCTGCATCCACGCTCTGCAACCAAACGGTGGTAACCCGATCAACGTAAAGACTAGTCTTCCCCTTACATGCAGACGTGTATCCATGCTCCCCCCGATCATGAATCTTTACACTGAACGGTAACCCCATAGACATAAGGACCAACGAGAATGAAAGCCATCAGAAGATAATGACACGGAACAATAGAAGATTCAGAAAAAAAGAAAATATGCATAAGCAGAGTTTTGCAAGCCAGACGAGAGGGCAATTCCTCCCCCCTTCTCCTCCTCCTCCTCCTCCTCGAACATCTCTTCATCCCGTGCCAAAACTTCTGTCCCACTCATCAGCGTGCTTCACTGAGGCCTCTTTCTTCATACCGCCTGATTTCTTTTCAATCACCCGGTACTGCACTTCCGAGCTGAGCAAACCGAAAACAGAAAACAGTGACATCAACACTTTTTGAAGGTCACTTTTAGTGACAGCATCGAGAACCACCACTCCCCACACTTCAGAAATTGGCAATACGAAGTCTGTGCAACAAAGCTCCAGGGCTGTGGACAGGATGGAGAGGATGGCAGAATATTAAAAAATAAAAAATAAAAATAAAAATAAAAACACGGCACAGCAACTTTGGCAATTTTTTGCAGTCAAAATAACACTGAAAATTCTTGAAAAAAAGCGGGCACGTAGATTAGGGGCCAATATTTCCAGGAAAAACAAGTCAAAATTCAGAAAATTGCCGCAAACTGGCGCATTTTCTGTGATTTTTTCCCCTCCTTTTTCATTTCCCGCTGTCACCAGTGGGCTGAAACGATTGGTAAAAGTGCGCACCAACTCGGGCAATTTTTTGGGGGATGTCAAGAGAGGTGTCAGAAGCGGAAGTGTGATTTGTGTCTAAGACAAAGCAGTGACAGCAAGACCCAACCAACGCCATGAATCAGGCAAGAGCCGCAAGACGTCGACCTCGAAAATGCTTATCATAGGTCTCACCGCAACAATTGCCAGAAGTTGAGCCAGATCGCGGCGTGTCAAGCAACAGTGCATCAAGGAGATTGCCCCTAGGGCTACTGTTTCTTTCATTTGTCCGTTTTTCTAGGAAGATTTTCATGACCGGCTGGTCTGAACCGGCCGGTCACCCGGGCATGACGCCCGGGGGGGTCTGACGCCAGGGATACCCGAGCATGGGGGAAAAAAAATAGAAAAATAAATAAACAAATTGGCACTGGGGTTTTTCCACGCTCTCCGAGAGGAGCCCAAATCCGGGCTCTTTTCGTTTTTCAGTGTTGGCTGTCAAGGGGGGGAAGGGGAGTATAAATGAGTTTTAAAGGGACTAAAGGGGTTCAAAGGGGGGTGCCTTGGTGTGATTTGGTTGTTTTCTTTTTTATCTTTAGTTTCGTGAGGAATTCTGATGTGAGTTGCTTGTATTGCATTTCTACACACCTTTTTTTTCATTTTTTATCTCTAGTTCCGTGGATATTCTGATGTGCGCTAGGACTGCCCAGGCCCATGCCCGGGGGTCACGCCTGGCCGGTCACCCGGTCGCCAAACCGGGCATGACATCGGAACCCACGCGCCCGGGATATCTCCCTAGCTGTTATTTTTTTTTTCGTCTTTTCTTCTTCCTACAGTTACTTATGTGAGGCAATTTGAGAGAAGTAGGTAGTGCAGTTTTAAAAAAACGCAAAAAGATGGGAGGCACCGCAAGTCATGTCACCAACTACTTTGCCACACCCAGACACATGGGCTGTCAAACAGGTACAAGAAGACGAACCAGGGTTTCAATCGTTTTCTTTCTGGAATAGCATCTACCAAGATCAAACATGAATGCTTGAAACACCCATGTCACCAACTACTTGGCCACATTTTGGAAGCCAGCTTCTGAAATGGAAGACTTCCATACCGGCACAACGCATGGTCCCACAAGTACATTTGCAAACTCCATACAGCGGCCACTCCCCTAGATCATAACACAGCTGTTTGACACTCCCCCTGGTGATAACACATCTGTTTGACACTCCCCCTGATGATAATGCAACTGTGCGACACTTCCCCTGGTCATACTGCATGACATTCCCCCGAATCATAACGCATCCCCCCGTCCACGCGCAACTCATTTACATTGCAGAAGCAGTCTCTTGCCCAGGAATCAAAGTGGACACCTCACCACTTCCTGTGCCGCCCCAGTTATTAGACTGCGGGTCGAACTCCTACGAGTTGTAATCCAGCTACACTAGAGCTAACTCAACCCGGTCAGCGTTCAGACCAGGTTCATGCTACATGTGATTGTAACGCATCGCAGCCTTGTCCTCCCCCCCCGCCCACCCCACCATTAAATGTGTTAGAAAACATGATTGGAAAGTGTCAGTCCATTATTGGACAATCATGAGCGTCAGGTGATACTCTCACATTAGCACTACCTAAGCTTCTTAGCTCAAACAGTTACTGCAGTTTGTGTCCCCCAAATTTTCTGCCAGTATTACAGGGATT